ATTAGGGCAAGCAAGAATAGGAAAGGTCGAGAGGTGAGTTATGAGTGGAGTGGGATTACTTTTACTTCTAGAAGATGATGAGTCAAGAGAATCAATTAGTTAATTAAGGTATATTAGTCAATTATTAGAGGTTTAAGTGGGATTGAGAATTGAAAAACAAAATAAATAAATAATACATTAAAAAAGTTTAAATTTTTAGACAGGTAAATGGGTCAAACTTGTTAACCCGATGGGTCAACCCGTTATTGACCCGTGACCCGTCGAGTTCTCTTAATGGGTCATTAACAGGTCACGAGTCATAAATATATGACCCTAACCCGTTTTAAATGGGCAGGTAATGGACGAGTTAACGAGTTGGGTAAAAAATTGGCAAGTCTAGTTGCCAGCCTAGGTGCGACCAAACAATCTATATATAAGCAATGATCTACATCTACGTATGTAAGATCACGTAATAGCTGTTGGAATTTTTAATTTATAAACGAGTTTTATATCACAAATTCAATCAATGACTAAGGATTGTTAATGGTGTAAAACCCAACCCGGTGTTGATCTGTTATAAGCATTGGGTTTGGCTCAATTGGCTAATTCGGTCATTTAACTAAAAAATTGACTTTGTTTTAGCATCATTTGTAGGTTTAACATTTAGTGTTGCCAACGAATTAAGTAATTCAATTGTCATATTCTTTAGTTGAAAGTAAAAAATTTTGAATTCAAGTCGCATGACATGCAAATGGGGTGGGATAAGAGGTGGAAATTGTTGCCTCTTATTGTGCAACCAAAAAAAAAAAAAAAGATGTTTAATGTCACTAAAAATCCTTTAACTTTACCAAAAAAGTCATCGTCATCATTCTACTTTAAAACAATTCATAATAATCCTCTAATTTCAAAGAAAGGCCCAACCACAATCCCTCAATTGAGGGATGGTTTAACGGTTAACAGCGTCAATCCACCTTTGAAAGTCCACCAAACTTTAATGGTAAAATAACATAGTTGCCACCTTAACTTTAGTTTTTGTGCACTTTGATCCTCCAAATTCAAATTTATCCAATTTAATTCCTAATTTCAACATTTTTATTATAATTTGGTTCCCAAACTTTTGAATAAGATACACTTAAATCTCAAAATGTTTAATTTCATGCATTTTGTCTTTTTTTCACAAATAATAAAAATTATATAACTTTTAATAAAATTGTATTTGAGTATTCAACTTATTTAGATATCAATAAAATCAAATATGAAATAATAAACTAAAATATATAAAATTTATATAAGGAAAATGATAGAGTTACACTCCTAAACAAACACCCTTAGTACACACATTCATTTTAATAAATAAAATATGGTTTAATAAGATTTGGCAAACATTAAAAACTTATGCCTTGTTTATCCAGGTTATCATTTGGCATCCATTTGCTCCTTTGAAATTCATTGTTGGTGGCTATGCCTAGAATCCAATTGACCCTTGCAAATTCTATAGATTCTAAAACTAATTTGTCCCAATTTAATGAAACTTGTCAATTATCCTTCCTTGACCTCCATTTTCTCCAAAACAGCCACACCAAGATCAAAATAGTGTTGATCACCATTGATATAGTGAAAATTAATAGATATACCACAGATCTTGTTTTCGCCTTCATTCCATCCTCGCCCATGTCGAAAAAGCTAAGGTCGAGGCCACTTGGGTTTTCTGGGTTTTTCAGTTTTATAACTATTCCTAGGTTTTGAGCTTTTAGGCATTCAACCTCCACTGAAAATCTACAAAGGCTAGGGTTTCTTGCAAATGTTGTGGGCCTTGAGTTCAAAAGCGATCTTGAGGCACCTTTCCAAATTCCCCTTTCTAATTCTCTCTCCTATTTTCCATCACGGGAAAACCCGAGATTAGTCCACTTCTAATGTAGAAAATGGATTCAAATCCATAGACCCTTGAATGGGTTTCATACCAAAGCTTCTCCAATGCTTTCTCCAATGCTTGATTCCATGAGTTATGGTGGGTGAGGTGATGGTGGATTGAATGGTGAGTTAGGTAATTGGGGTGAGTCAACTAGGTCACATAATTTCATTGCTTCTTATGGAATTTACAATAAAAAGAATCTCTTTATGTTTTTCTTGGGGTTCATTTGTGCTTGGGTCATTTCTAGAGTCATGGTTAGTACTGAGTCTTAGTTGTCATCACTCACCACCAACTTAGGGATGGCAATTTGCCCCGATCCCCGTGGGGCCCCGCGGGGATCCCCGTCACGGGGACGGGGCAGGGACGGGGGGCATTTTCCCCCTGTGAAATTTCGCGAGGAATTTTCCCCGCCCCGTGGGGCCCTGCGGGGATCCCATCCCCGCGAAAAATTTATAAAAAAAAATAATTTTATTTTAAATTTAATTCAA